TATTTTGTTGGTGTTCTCTTTTTTCTTATAGCTAAAAGTTCACATGAAGAACTCTTTATGTCTTGCTCATTACAGTCCCACCCATCCCCTGTTAAGAAAGTCTGGAAGACAATTAATACTGGAACAGTTTGTCAAGAGGGAGTATTTGGGTCTTGCCTTTATTAACCAAAGCGCACGCGCAGCCCAGAGATGTTCTGGTGATTTTACGCTAACTGCTACGCTTGATTCTTCATGGGATGTGGTGGACCAGTGCAGAAGACATTGCAACGAGGAGGTTAACCACAGGCCATGGTGGCAGTGACCTGTACGTTAATAGAGGCGATGGCGGTGTCACCCAAGCGCACACTGTGGCATTGGTGTGTGCTGCCTTCAGCAACGCCACCTGTACGTGCTGCTCGTGAGGGCTCACACCTCTGCAGAATGCTCTCAGCAGACCTCGGGGTACCATCTAGAAAGCTCAGTACTGCTCAGGCTTGTTCACTTGGAAAAATACTATAAATACTGTAAAAACAGATATCCCATAACCATTTACTAAAGCAGTTTTAAGTAATCTTTTAGGAACTCTCCTAACATTATTCTCTTCCACTTGTGGTTCATTTTAATGTATTTCTTTGTCTTTCTGCTGTCTTAACAAGTGGTTTCTTTATAAAAAGAGACTATTAGCGTAAGTTAGGCTTATTCATTGTTCTGGGGGAATAAAAAATGATTTGCAAAATAACCAGTCTCCTCACATTGTACTTCTCTCTCTGCTTCCTATAATATCCAACATTAAAAATAACTACTTTTCTGTACTGTCCTAATTATTTAACTTATCACTATCTACTGCTATTGGCTTGTCATCAGTCTTGTCCAAGATCTTTATTTGGCTTAATTTAACAACCTTTTTTTTCTTGTTGCTTCTTTCAAATGCCAATCCTCTCATGTCATATATAATTTGTCTCTCCTAAAACAGCCAAATTATCAACATAGCCAAAAATATAAATCAGCCTATTTCCATTTGCACTTGTAACTCCACAATAGTGCCAGTAACCAGAGAGCACTGGAAGCCGTTGTCTCTCTACCACAGTCTCACCTGACTGCCAAATGATGTGGATATTTAAATCTTTCTTTTGTAACCCAAAACCATGTCTGCACCATCCCAGTAATTCCACCAGGGTTCCAGACACATCATTGCATTCTACAAGCCACCTTGGCGATATGCTTTCTTAAATCTGTAAGAAAGTGTGTTTGTATTTGCTTTGTATCACTATGCGACGTAACACAGACTGTAACAGCGTTATACAAAGGGGCCTCTGGATGGTGGAAGTAACCATTTGGCAGAGCTGGAAATGGCCAAAATGGAGACCTTTCTATCAAAACAACCCCAATGCACCATTGTAAAAAAAAAAAAAAGTAGAACACACTTTAACGAACTCCTTAGTGATGGGCTAGACAAAAGAGAATAGCAAATGGGCATTTTTGAGCTAGCTGAGCTGTTTGTGGAAGAATTATATTCTGAAGACATTCAAAAGGCAGCCAGAATCCTCAGGAGCAACCAGCAACCAGTTGCTGACAATGTTTCCAGGGAACGATTTAAAACAGGAGATGATAAGCTAAATCAAAACCTTTGCTAATTAGTTGCACTGGAGAGCTGAAGACATTTCTAAATGAAAAACTCAAAACAGTGACATGATCAACTCTTACAAACAAGTGGATGGTGCCTTCAGCCCCATGACAAGCCATCTGTCTTTGGTACGTTTATAGACGTTTTCTAATTTTACAAAGTAAACCTGAAAATAAAAATAACATTAACAGAAAAACAAGTCCAGTGTGTATCTAAAATTTTTGTTTCATCAGGCACTTTAAACTGTGCATCACATATCTAGCATTTGGAAGAATTAAAATACAGTGCACTGTATTACACTATCTCTGCTAAACAGGTGTGCCACTAGGAAATGTCCTGCCTCAGTGGATTTTGGCATACCAGCGTCTGTGTAGGACATGCTATTGAGGATGCTTCCTTTAGGACATTTCAGAAATGAGGCTTCTCACATCACACTGCTTAAGCAACAATAAATAAAATGCAACTACCCCACATTATCATACATAACATTATCAATACTTTAACTCCACTCTCTATTTTTCCTGCTTATTAGGGAAAAAAAAAAAGAGTCTACTTTCACTGATGTCTAACGTGCACTATCTAAATAATGTCTCTACAGAACGTAGACTGTTGCCCAGGGCTATTTTATTTCACTGCTTAAAGCTAAAAATAAAAGCATTTATGTTACCCTTTAGGTTTTGAAATCCCCACTAAGCATACTCTTCAGTATGAGAATCACGCCTGAAAAGAACCATCCATTTTACTTTTATCTCTATTTTAAACTTTTGGTAGGATCTGTTAACGTGAATATTATTTGCAAGAAAATACGGATGTGTAACATTTCAGACTGCAAGAAGTCAAAACACCTCTCACAACAATATTTAAGTACTTCTAAGAGTGTTTTAATGTTCTCACTGTCTGACATGTTGATTTGAAATCTCCCTATCATGTCACCTTGCTTTTAACCATTTTTCCCATTCTTCCAGTCTTTTTGTGTAATTAAGATTTTTCTTGACTCTTAATTAATTTCCTTTCCAGTCCTTCAGACAAGGCTATTCTTCAGACAAGGATAAAAAAAATCAATTATGTTGTAGACTGAGCTTTTCACTGACTTAACCAAATGGCACTGTAATGATTGCTTGCCCACTCATTACCTACCTGTGCATTTTTTATATATCTGCTTTACCTTTTTGCCCACCCCAGCACACTGAGACAGAATCTTCCTCTGCATGTCCCACAACAACAAGGAACTGTTTGAGTGCCCATCCACTCCACTCCATAACTCAAATTTTCAGTTATGCTATTTTTTTCACCTAGCTTTCTATGATCCCTCTTCCATGGTAGCATTTGTCAAATTGTTCACTTCATCTTTAAATTCTGTCATGTCACTAATATATATGATGTATACGAATATTTAATACTCCTTCTAACATTAAATAACAGGACTCCCCTGTCTTATCAACATAGCAGAAAATTATTATTTTATTTATGCCTTTCATTGCACATTTCTGAGATGATTCCTAAATGTTCAGCACACTCCACAGGGCTTACTAGTTTTCTTAATTGCCTTGAGTAAAGAACTTTGTCAAAAGCCTTTTGAAAGTCCAAATAAATTAGATCAAGCATTTCTTCCTCATCCATTATTTCGATGGCACATTCAAAGAGTTCTAACAGATCAGAGATGGTTTTCTTTCAGCAAAGCTACCCTGGCTTCTTTTAGCAAAATTTAATCTAGAGCTTTGCTCATAATTCTATTATTGATAATGTATTCAATCCATTTAGCTAATACTGAACTCAGACTTACAGGCCAGTAGAATAAATCTAGTTTGCTGGAAAAAAGCAACAAAACTAAACAAAAGCCAAATTTTAACATTCATCTTTTCAATAGGCAATTAAGTGCTAAAAAAATTTGCACCAGCTCAGCCCCTTCCATTCTTATAACCCTTGTCTGTAGCCAATCAGCCATCTGATTCTGCTTTCTTTTTAGTCTTTAAATGTCTCTTATTATTTCCTTTAATTGCCTCAATTTAATATAATATAGTTATGGTTTAGTTCCAGCCAGCAGCTAAGTACCCCACAGCCCCTCACTCACTCACTCCCCCTGGTGGGATGGGGGAGAGAATCAGAAGAGCAAACCAAAACTTGTGGATTGAGATAAGAACAGTTTCATAATTCAAATATAATAATGATAATGATGATGATAATAAATTGCAACAAAAAGGAAAACAACAAGAGAGAAAGAGAAATAAAACCCGGCAAAAACAAGTGATGCAGTTGCTCACCACCCACCAACTGATGCCCATCCCATCCCCGAGCAGTGACCACTGCCCCCCCCAGCCAACTCCCCCCAGTTTCTATACTGAGCATGACATCATAGGGTATGGAATGGCCCTGTGGCCAGTTGGGGTCAGCTGTCCTGGTTGTGCCCCCTCCCAGCTTCTTGTGCCCCTGGCAGAGCAGGGGAAGCTGAAGGGTCCCTGACTGGTGTAAGCACGGCTCAGCAACAACTAATCCATCAGTGAGTTATCAACATTCTTCTGGTACTAAACCCAAACCACAGCGCTCTGCCAGTTACTAGGAAGATAATTAACACTATCCCAGCTGAAACCAGGACAAACATCTCAATTTTACTACTTCAAACATATAGATATTTCATTGCATTTTCTGTAGCACAATCCATCTAAATAAATCTTTCAACTTATCTACAACAGTTTCTTCTAAATCTACTCTTTAAAAACCAGCAGGTCTGCTGATATTTTCATGAGGTTGTCTGCTTCTGGTGTAGTTGAAAAAAATCTTTGCAGTTTCTTTCATTTTCAGCTATAAGGTCTTTGGACTGCCTCTTAGACTATACATTTTCTACTTTCCATTTTTCCTGCCACAATTTGTTTTCTGTTTTAACAGTTACAGTTTACCTGGAAGAGGCTACATTTGGGGTCAAATTAATGCTTACCCCTCACAGTTTTTTCCCATTGATGTTTAAATCTTTTTCTTAATAATCTGAGACTGACTTACCATTTGAAATCCCATTCATGTGTTAATTCAAAGAATTACTATAATTAATTTCAAGGTCAAAAGGACAAAAGAACCCTCACATATCTACTTACCTTAATTACAAGGACTGACAATGGCACATTTAAATAGCAAAAATTTTGCAACTCAGTTATAAACAGCATCAAAGATACAATAAAAGAAACAGTATAAATAAATTTTAAAATTATACTTTTACATCAGCTATTTTGGTTAGGAATTGTTCACTCATGTACAGCTATTGCAATGTTTAATTTTTGTTAGTTTCATTTTTTTCCAACTATATATTCCATTTATCTCTCTTCCTGCCACAGGCAATTAGAAGATATATTTTTGGATGCTCTATAAAAGGTTCTTTTACAGTAATTTGATTTTACTATTGTCCTACCAGAATAAAATGATCCTAATGTTTCCTTTCTTCCAGAAAGCTCTGGCAGACTTTCCCCAGTCTGGGTACGGTTTGTCCTGAAGCATCATATCGGTGACCTGCAGGGAAAGAAGAAATAATACACCGTTAAACTGGTGTCACAAAAGAAAGTACTAACACGGACTTTATGAATGCTTTCTTTCATGCGTGACATGCCTGCTTCAGTTCTGATGATTTTAATAGTTAGATGGTAGGAAAATAGTATCTCTAGTGTTACCTGCAATCAAGATAAAGTATATTGGCCTATATATTCTGCCCCTAGAAGTGCACACAACTCCTTGAGGAACAAGGAAACCTGTGGAGATGCCAAGATAAGAAGAGGAACTGGTCTAAAAGTTACAGCATCCTACAGTACATAAGCTACGTTCCCCCATGGCTACGAAGCCTTCCAGTCCAGCCTGGGAGAGGGGACCCACTTCCTCAAGAGCAACATCAGCAGAATTTCCACTCTTGAAATCAGAACTGGAGCCAGAGAGCGCAAGCCTGTAAATTAAGCACTATATGCCATTTATAATCTCCTCTCGGTTCCTGGGATCAGTAAGAAAAGCACACTTGGGACTAGAGACACGAAAATCCCTTAAAACTTGCACGAAACTTAAAAAGTATGAAATATTTATTCCATTTTCATAATTCCCATCTAAAGAGACCATCTGTTTCTCTGTCCAGAGACTCACATGCATGCACTACTTCTGGATGGAACACAAAAGTATTAAAAATTACTTTCAGCTAAATGAGGGAGGTGAAAACCCCTCAGGCACTTGCACCTTTGGGAAGCTGTGTTTTCATATCCATTTACTTCAAGTTAACTGTAGCAAAAAGCACCGAAAGTTTCATTACAGTAAACTCATCAATTCCGTTGTGCGAAAGATGCGGAAGAGTGGAAAACCTACCCATATGTAAAGATTAAGAAATAATTGAACAGATAAAGGAAATAGGGGTGAGCACCTGCTTCAAAATACAGATAAGTAAAACAAATTCTTACTGTCATTGGTATCAGTACACAGAGGAAAATTACTGGTTTGACTAGTATGAAAATAACTCTTAATAAGATTTCAGAAGGAAATAACTTCAAATTGGAGTCAAGATTTCTTCTTTTTATTTTCCACTACATTTATTTTGATATACAGAGTTTTTAAAATCCAGTTTGCCATCCAGAGTGCGAGCTACCACTTTCAATCAACAACATTAACAGTGTTTATTAAAAAGAACACATGGCCCATGATTGAATTAAAACTACACATAAACTGCATTCAACTTCTAAATTTTGGTTCCAAGTCCATTTGGGGTTAACTGTGCTCAGCATATTAGCCTGAAGGGCTGGGTCCAAAGGATAATGAATATCCTAAATAAATAGAAGAACACATTCTAGGATTTTATGATTCCATTAAGCCTAGCCTGAAGAAAAAGCAGGCTATATCCCAAAATACCACCTTTACTAATTGTTTTATGTAGGTAAATCTTTTCTCAGATCAGCATGCTATGATACTTCTTTATAACATCCCTATTATCTAAATAAATATCTCGATAAATATTTAATGCTGAACAAGACTCAATAAAGATTTGATCCACTACTTTAGTAATACCTTTTTCTCTTAGGAAGAGTCTACATAGTAATGAATATTTGCGAAGAACAATTATTTCGAGAGGTTGTATTCAATTTTCAAAACACTTTCTCCAGACACTTTCTGGGAAATACTTATATTTGGTAGAAGGATGCAATCTGCTGCTGTATGACCAATTATTAGAGTAGCATGTTTCATAAGAATGACATTCAAGAAGAAGACATTTTCTGAGAAGAATGGCAAGACGAGGCAGGAACTGTTCTTTCTGCTATCAGACAGTTGGTCTTTCATCTCCCAGCTTTGGCATTTATTTAAAGTCATATCACCAGATCAATGTCAGACTGGTTGCAGCTAAATTGGCTGAAGCAGAGACAGTCATTAAAGGGATGCATTCCATAAAGAGAAATCCAATTACCTTTTGCATTAGAGAAATCAAATTCATTTTCTGGTTTGGTCAAGGACAGTCACTATGGAAAACAGCTCACGGGAGAAAAGCACTCAACACTGTCATAGTGCAAATAAGTTTTAGATAGGAACATAAAAAACTCATTGCTGCTGTTGGAATGATGTTTTTAGAAAAAAAATTAATTTAATTTGCACAGGTTAGTATAAATAGAGTGTGTATTTTTTTTTTTCTCTCTCTTTGTATTTCACCATGCAATTACTGGCCAGCAAACATTTCTGTCCTTTTCTCCTGGACTATATTTGAAAACACTGTGGATAGTCAGGAATAAAAAATAATTGATCACTTCAGTAATTCTATGTATGCATGCATCCCACATCATCAAGATAAAACAGGGAAAGCCACTTACAAAGTAATTAAGTAATGTATTTTTTTCTTGAACTGAGAGATGTGATATACTTTAATCAATTAATTATACTTCTTCAATTCAGAAAGGAATGGCCCCTACATTATAATGACTATATAGTTTTTCATTTTATTTAGTGTCTCATGAGAAAAATGGTTACACTGTATTAAGCTGCACAAACAAAACGGCATAATACGCATTGTCTGACTTTTTGAGTTACACACATGCCACAGCAAAATATTTTCATAAAAAATTAGTATTCCTTCTATATATTACAGAATCTTAAATTTCACCTTGCTAAATAAAAATTACTTTATTGACTATTCATATTATTCACGTCACATTAACTATGAAGATAACTGTAACACTTTTTAAAAGGAATATTACTATCATTAAATTAATAGTAAAATGTTGCAATTCACAATTTTTGTTATAGAAAATTCAGTTGTTCCTTTTGATCTGATATACTACAACAAGTTGAAAAATTACATCATATCATAGAGAAGAATCTGGGATTCAAAGTCATGTTCAGAGCAAGTAACTCACACAAACAAGTGCAGAAAGCAAAATTATAAAAACTCAAAACCAGTACCTAAGATACCTGGATACTACACTAAGTGGAACAGTAAGACACCTTAAGACTCATTAACTCCTTATGTGTAGTTGCTCTTTGAGCGGATTGCTCAGGATGCTCAGCACGTACTTCAGATCTCTCCTCCCGAGACAGTCACGTCAAACGATGCTATGTTGTGAGTCACAGGATCCTTCCCTGCAGAGGCAATGTCTGCAGCAGGAGTTTCAGGTAAGGCTAAGTATCTTTTCTATCAATAAGGTAACTGCAAATGAAACTCTTTTTAAAAAGAAAAAAAAAAAAAAACCAAAACCAAAACCAACATGAAAATGACCTAATGCTTTGGTCATGTCTTCAAAGTATCTTCCAAATTCTTCACTAGTAGGAGCTATGCTGTCATCTTCAGAGTGCAAACTGATCATTATTGGAAAACTAATGTGGCATGGGCTGCTGGCCAAGCTGTTTTCATCTGCCAGATTGCACTTCAGAAACCTAGACATATAAAAGTACATCAAATGGTTTCATAGTATCACTTCTCCACATAAACTGCAGAAACTGGATCTTGAAAGAGCGATGGGCTCTGGACAAGCTCTCTAGGATGCGATGTATTCCATGCCATAACATTCATTAAGTAGAGATCAACCCTCAATGGAGGATTTTCATTGCTTTATTCACACTTGGATAAATCACCAAAACAGGGTAAAAGCATCCCTCCAGAATTTAACAGAATGTAAAAGAAGCCAAGATCCACAAAAGCCTGGAAATACAAACCAAATGGTGAACTCCGAAATCTTTTTTATTATTTTGATAGAGCAATGAGCAGTGAAAGGTCTAATGGGACATTCAGACTCCAACATCTATGAGGAAAAAAGTTGTTCATACACAACTGCTCAGCCAGAAGGACAAGACATCTTGGTGCTATTGCTGGAAAATGGAGTAGCCTGAATAATTCTGCATCTAATGGCAGGGCTCAGAGGGTTCTGATCGGCGGGGCAGAGTCCAGTTGGATGCCGGTAGCTAGTGGAGTTCCCCAGGGCTCGGTACTCGGCCCAGTCTTGTTCAACTTGTTCATCAATGACCTGGACGAGGGGACGGAGTGTACCATCAGCAAGTTCGCTGATGACACAAAACTGGGAGGAGTGGCTGATATGCCAGAAGGCTGCGCTGCCATTCA